TTTTCTTGCCCTCCCTCTCAGGCCACCTCCACATCCCAGGCCTGTTATTTTTTTGTTTTCCTTGTTGTCCTCCTTTTGAGGCCCCCTGTTCCCACCTGGTTTGGGTTTGGTTTTGTTGTTTTCTTGCCCTCCCTCTCAGGCCACCTCCACATCCCAGGCCTGTTATTTTTTTGTTTTCCTTGTTGTCCTCCTTTTGAGGCCCCCTGTTCCCACCTGGTTTGGGTTTGGTTTTGTTCCTCCTGCCTAGACTCTTTGGGGAATGTGTGGATGTGGGGGACTTTCATGATCTGTAGGTGGTTGGACTTTAGTTTCTTGTGTATTCTTGTATATCGAGCTTCATTTGATTAGTGTTCCTTTCTATCTACTGTTAATGTTAGCTTCAGGTTTTTTTTATTTTTTTTTACCTTTCATTCAAGGTTTTCTTATGTTTCGGCTTTGTTTATCTTCTTCCCCTCCAGGAACCACGAGTCTCTGTTTTTAAGCGGATTTGGTGCTTTTCTGTAATACAGGATATAGTAGTGTCTCAAGGATCAGATGCAATGTTCTAAGAGTAGAAATCATTTCCTGTCTCTTTTGGGAGAAATATAATGTTAGATTCTATTATCAGTCAGCAAGAAAGATATACAGTGTGCAGTCTATTAGTCTAATCCAACAAAGGGAATATTAATCAGCTTCACTCAAAGATGCTGCAATACAGTGCTCTGAAAAAACTATACAGGTGAAGAAGTAGACTTCTGTAACAAAGTGTTCAAAATAAAGAGGATATTTCAGTTCATAATCATATTTATTGAAACTAAAACATACCACACTAGAGTCATGTCAAAATAATGTTGAGCACAGTGCTGGAGGGCTTTTGGTTTGGGCTTGTTTTGCACCAGGACCAATGAATCAACCCTGACACACTTTCCTTAGGACATCTAAAGAGTGGAGTAACCTTTTAAGCCAGCTTCCTTCGGTCTTCTGGCTGGACCTGGAATGTCGTCCCTCTGCACTGGACACATAAAAATGAAAGGTCTGTGAAGGAGCCTATTTTGTTTTTAACTGCGCAAGTGATTTTTTTTTTCAATGTCTGATTTAACAGTGTTTTATTTTTTAATGCCAAATCTCTTTTTAATATCTTTCTAAACTGTTACCATTTTGGCTCCATACTCATCCTTTGCCTTTGAAGAACTGCAGTCAGAGGTCTGCAAATACTTTTAATTAGTAGCATTTTAAAATAGCCAGGTTAAATTGGATTTTTTTTAGGTCTGATCTAACCTGTGCTAACGTAAAAAGTCCAAATGGATCATTTTTTGTCAGCAGAGCAGTGAGTCTCAGTTTTTGGTCATAAAAATTGAAAAATGTCAGATGCTCAAACATCGACTGTAAAAACTTTCCTTCATCTTCAAAGGTTCTAAGTCTTCATCGTGAACAGCAAGTTGAAGGAATGTTCATGCATGGATTGGTTCTTCATAACTGGTTCAACTCCAGGTGGATTAGGCAGAAAATTGGAACACAATGCGTTTTTTTTTTTTAAGTATTGTTGGGCTCTAGTGTCATTTATTTGAAAGTGCTCACACAGGAAAGTAGGTAATGAGAGAGAGGGAAGACATGCAGCAAAGGTCACCAGGCTTCTTCAAAAGGCTTCTTTATGTTGGTTGTGCTTGATCCCTGTGCCACCACAACACCGTGTGTAGTTGTATTTTAGCCTGAATAAATAACAAACCCCATAAATACTAACTAATGCAAAGAGTCTACATGTGACTAATTTATTCTCGGTATATACAATACTTGCAGTATTGACTAAAGAAGGGTGTTAAAGCTTTAGTCTTAAGGGTATTTTATAAAAGTAAGGTTTTTCACACAGAGGTAGAGCTCACATGCAGGTGTTCTATCTAATCTAATAGTTCTCTCTGAATCAATGACAGAACAAGAATAACTCAGCTGCTGCACACGCTGAAGTCTTTTAGCTAATGGAGTGAAAGACATTCTGCTGATTTGCCTTCATCTGCCCTGGAATGTGAGTGTGTTGGCTTTGATTTATCAGGTGTGTTTTCATGTCCATCAGTTTAATCAACCATGTTAGTTAACTTTTTAGACATTAACATTCCTCAGATCAGCGCAAAAAAAAAAAGAAAAAAAAAGAAAAGGAAAATCCTTCATAGAAGCAGATGAACTTGATGCACATGTTGTGACTTTATGGGCTCATGTGAAGAGCTAATATCTGACTGGAACTAACACGTTCTTTTGAAACACATATGCAATAAATAAGCAGTGTTGGGCTCCATGTTAACTCTGGAGGAGCTGCAGGGGTCCACGGCTCATGTGGGGAAAAAAAACAAAAAACATTTGTTGAGAGCACACTAGAGTTGAGCGTGAGGGTGATAATGCATGTAGGATGACTTTGACTTCACAATCAAACAGAGATTTTGTAAAATACCTAAAGTTGGTGTTTGGGATAGTCTTCAAATTAAAAGTACAAAAACAACATCAATATATACTTCCTGTTTGCAGATCTGAAGGTTCGAGGATTTGGAAGTTCCTCTCTCTCTCCTCATATCCTGTCCGCATTCCATTGCTTATTATCTGAGTATAGGAGTGAGGTCTGCGGGGTGGCTGATAGAGAGGAGATTCAGCTTGGTGCTGCTCTGTTGTCTAACCACAAAAAGCACATTACTAAATCTTAATTAGCGAGTTGTGAAAGGGAACGGCTTTTGAAGAAGATAGCTTTGTTTCAGTGGGATGAAGACGTCAGCCATGCAAATAACTACACTATAAAATGACCAACAGGCTCCACTGGCCAGTGTTTGTGAAGGAGGAAAACTAGGATAAATGGAATATGTTCTGATAACATCTGCTAGACGTCTCTCAAGACCCAGAGGCCGTTAACAGTATCGCAGCACGTGCTCAGCAGCTAGAGAAAACCCTGCTATTATACACTGTTCAGTCTGATAGAAACATTAAACACTGGAGAAGGTTAAAACTGACACAGGAGAGCAAGTTCACCAAAAAACATCCATTCATTGGACATCTTGGTAATCTGTGGGTTTTGCAAGTATCACAGTTTGGTTGAGGTGGATGGTGCAAGAAAACAAAATTATATATATATTTTTTCTGTATTAAAGCTGCCTTATGTAAATTTCATAAAAAAATATATGTTCTTTACATATTTGTTAAAATTATCATTACATCATGACAGTATAAGACAGATAATTTATGACAAAATCTAACTTTACTGTCTTCTCCCATTGCTCCCAGTACTAACTGCAGAAATTCACCACTCAGAAACAACCAATGAGAGCCAGGAGGAGGGTCTTAGCGCTGTCAATCACTCTTGTGCTTCTTCCCTCCTTACTTTCTGCTAAACTACAGGTGGTTTACCACAACATAGCTTGCCACAATTGCTAAGGCTAGTTAGCATGGCCTTCGATGACAGTTTAAAATGATTTGCCTGCAACAGTAAGTTGTTTCTCCGTCATTTGTACATTTAGCAGCGTGCATGAGGCTGACTGACCGGACTCCTTCTGGCTCTGATTGGTTGTTTTTCAGTGGAAGTGGTACATCTTTGCAGACTGCACTGGGAGGAGGTTTTCACAGATTATCCTTCTCATACCATCCTGCCACTACATGGTGACAGTTTTAATAAATATGGAGAAAATATATTTTTTATAAAAGTTGCATACTGCAGCTAGAAAAGGTTTAAATGACAATAGCAATACAGTCTCAAATGTATGGCTACATTTATGTATCACTGTTCCAACACAAACCTAAAGAACTGAAGAAGTCATAAAACAATAATTACAACGTCAAACTCAGAAAACATCTAAGGATCAGTAAAAGAATACTGACTGATAACAATAATGGAAATTTGCTCTTTCTCTCTCTGGTCAAACTTTTCAGATTAGACAAGCTGATGAGTTGCTATGACGTCCTACTATGAGACACACAAAGAGGAAGTAAAGAGTTACCCAGGTTCTCCTGTGAAGATCAAACCTCAACAAACTTGGGTACTTAGAAAATGAGCAACAAAGTAAAGGTGGTTAGACAGGTTGTCCTTTTAGCAGGGATTGTTTCACCTGCAGGACCACAGAGTCTGAACCCTAGAAACCAGGAGCAGTGTTGTCACAGTCAGAGGAAACTTCTATAGCAAGTTAATCTACAGTACAGACTGTGATCTGCTTCTCCCACAGGGATCACAAGGGTGATACTCAGGCTGGGAAAAATCTAGTTTGTGTATATTTGATTGAAGAAACCAAATATTTGTGTCGCTTTGGGAAAAAAGAAAAACATAATAATTTTTTTTTTTTTTAAAGTCTATTAAAAATATTTTTATGGCAGACTTTTTAACAGATTATGTTTCGCATGGCCACAAGAGAACCACTAAATAAAGTTACCCAACAGGGTTAGTGCTGGGGCGTTAATAATTTATTCACCAGTTTCTGATAACAAAATAATCTTTTGTATCTTTTACTGGTTAGACTGTCTCCAAATTAAAAGAGTGTAACACAGTGTCTCACTTTTGCTTGATGGCCGTCAGGAGGATCACATGATGATTCACCCAGAGCAGTGAGCGCCAACCGCAGGAGGAAAACCTTCAATACTGAAAAATATTAAGAGATGACCAAAGTTTTAATGTTGTATCATATTTCTTTTATTTAATGTAACTATTAGTGAATGTTTATGAGTCTGATATCTAAACGCACTTCTGGAAGAAATTTTTTTGCGAATATTGTGGGTAGAATGTTTTTATTTACTTTGGTTTTAATTTCTTATTTTGGTAACACTTTATTTGAAGGGGTGTGCATAAGACTGACATGACACTGTCATAAACATGACATAACACCTGTTAGGAACATGAACGAGTCCTTATGAATGTTTATGACAGTTGTCATGAAGTGTCATTCGGTAAATAATGAAACTTTTAATGCAAAGTTGCCTTAAAAGTTGCATTAAAAGTCCATTAAAAGTTCCAACTTTGCATGATTTTGTAAATAATGACAATTTAATGCAACATTGGCACTTTTAATGGACTTTCACTGAGAGCAACGTCCTTCTTCATGAAACGAGTGGTGTCAGATTTTAGCAGTTGCAGGATTTCACTTTTGTCTTTGGCAGAAGGCCACGAGTCATCGCTTGTTTTGGTTACCTTTACCCAGACAGTTATATTCTCCAATCTGCTTGGTGGTCATTCAAACAGAAATAGAGTTCACTTCAGCCAAACCAAGGCCAAGGTTTTTAGGTGGGATAGAGTTGCTGTTTAGGTCCACATCGGAGTTTGCTTGTACCAAATGAACCAGACTTTCTAGATGAAGGAACTAGTGTTTGACTGAAGTGGACCAAACAGGGCTGGTGTGAAGGCGCCCAAATGAAGCAGGTTCAGCTGCTGTACATCCAACAAAAGCAAACAAAAGGCAAAACTGATTTCACAGTATGTTCAGTTACTGTCAGAACCATTAGACAATTTGCTTGTGAGGAGTTAACGGTCTGAAGGTCTACAATTTTTTATTAACTCCTTCTTAATCATGAGTCAGGCTAGAAAGGCAAAAAAAAAGTCTTACAGCAAGAGTTTAAATGACATCTGCTTAGTTGTATCAAATGTGAACATTAGTAAAGTAAAGTTTTCAGATTTTTTTTGTGCAATTTCTGTCCTCCAAGGTCCTGACATACACAAAGAACCAAAGGTTCATGAGTCAGAGCAAAGATAAACGGAAGCAATGTCATTTTGTATTTACTGTGTGAAAATGACTCGTCAAGCTGCAGTTCAAAATAAAAGCTAAATAGATATCCAGTGCTGCAGTATAAAGGAAAGAGAAGGGAAGGTCATGGCTGCCTCAGTGGAATAAAGGGCTGGAAGATTACAACTCTGTGTGTGCATGCATGCGCACACGTGTGTGTGTGTATTCATCAGAGTGGACACATTAACAACCAGGGTCACAGAGATACTTGGTATTCATATTCCTGGCTGATTTACTGCTTCTGGTTTTTCTTATCTTTGCTAATTCATCTTTGTAAAATAACTCAACATCTGACAGATTGGGCAGAGCGCATCTGTGAACATCAGTTTTCAATTCTTGGCAAAGACTTATTAGAACTTAGATTTGGACTTTGACTAGGCCATTCTGACACTTGAATAGGCTTTTGATCTAAACGCAGTCGTAATTATCTTTCTAGCTCTCCTCTTCTCTTTGTCCTGACCGGCTTTCTTTGGCCCTGATGCAGAGCCTCATCCCCACTGCATGATACTTCCACCACTGTGTTTCACCACTGGAGTGGCATGTTCTTTGAAGTGTTGAGAGTTGAATTTTGAAAAGTTACATTTCACAATTGCATGGTTTAATTGCAAGCCACACATTTCAGATTTTTGTTTGTGAAAACATTTTAAAACCTCATTCATATGCCATTTTGTCCTGGTTTGCCACATAAGAAACCCAATAAAACACACTGAAGTTGGTGGTTGGGAGTATGTGTGTTCCAGTAATCATTCTGATGATTCATATGTTTGGAAGCGTTATGACTTTGTGATCTAGTTGATTTTATTTATGTTACGCTTGTGTGTTTTTTTTTATTCCCCTTTAAATATTGTTTTGGGCCCTCCAGTTCCAGTGTAAAGTGTTCGTTCTTTACCTCATTTAACTAATACAGCAGGATATTGAGCAAGACATGGAATGCATTTTATTTATCCTTATTATTCATCCAAATCGGCCAACCTAATTAGGAGGACCAGGCGGAGGGGTTAGACAGTTCATCCCGTCTCAGAGTGTTTGTCTGGTTTTTTTTACGAATAACTTTCACATCGACCCACAGCCCAGCTTTGGCAGAGAGCCTCCATTCGCTATTATGTTCCTTCCTCGTGTATCATATGAGTACATGGAAATGCGGGAGGTGCACAGTCCGCTCATTGTGGCAGTTATTAAATTAATTTCACCGTGAGTTCCCCTATATAGTCACAGCGATGAATGTGGTTTATTCAGTTAAAGGAATGTTTGTGCAGATCAAACTGGCTGAATGGGAAGCATCTGATGGGAAACAGCTTGGAGTTGGAGGCTAAACTGCTCAGTCTGTGGGGGAGATGCTGCAGGTTTAACTGTTTATTTTTGGACTGCATTAAAGCCACACGTCCACTTAATCTGCATGTGTCTGCTGGTGATGGTTAATGCGTTAAATTTTTCCAATAACATGGAGGTGACTGAGGCAGTTGGATCTTTAGCCTGGCGGTCTAAAAGTGGGCGGATTCCGGCTTCATCCTGCCAGAGGTCGGTTTGCCTCTGCGCACGGCAGATTGCCCCAAGTTTCCAAGTTGAGGTTATGGTGTAAAGCAGCGTTCTTCAAGTGAGGGCCATAAAAGTTCAAAGTTGAAGGGAAAATGAGAAGAAAATGAAAAAAACAAAAAAACAAAAACAAAACAGAATCCATTAAATTTTTACATAAAATCTTTTTATTTATTTATTTATAATGGAATCTGATCTGTGTTCTGAAATGTTTAGTTAAAATAACTTATTGGAATGTTATTTGGCGGTGCTCTTCAAATTGCACTAATACAATTAACTATGACAGGATAAAACATAAAAAAACCACAAAATATATGAAGAGCCTTTAGGGCTAATTATGTTGTTCTTACTCTCATCATTTAGATGAACACTAAAAGACACAATAAAAACCTCATAATACTAAAGACCACAATTCAGTTTTCAGTTGGTGCTTAATTATATTTTTAGAATATATTCCTTTCATGTAACATAAAATGTCCAGGTCAGAGCCATGCTATCCCCCAGACATCGGCTCAGTGCGGCTTTGCAGCTCCTTCGTTTGGTTTCATGGCTCTCTGGTGTGCTGTCAGGTCCCACTGGACTCATTAACATCCTGGTATTTTCAGGCAACAGCAGCTAATAGGAAGACTTTGATAACTCTTTGTTCATCACCTGCCAACCACCGAAGCACAAATAGCCTCCATAACTAATTAGCATTAGGCTAATTAATGTCTTTGAGATGCATACATGGGTATAAAACATTACAAGGTACAAAAAAAGAAATTTTACACATCATACCTCCATAATATTCCTCATGTATTTTGTATAAAATTAATTATATATATAAAGTTTCCTTTTAAGTGTAACACACTGCAAGATAAACATAAGGGGCAGCATTATATCATGTGTGTTGTGTTTTCTCATCATTTCTTGTATTTAATATGTGAAACATCAGCACGACTACGAGCCACCTGCCAGCTGAGGTTTGAACATGGCTGTGGTTTATCTCCTTCTACTTCTCCAAAACTCCACCGTCCTTCTAACTTGGTGTAATCTACAATCACTTTGCCGATGGAATCTTAGATGAAAAACTAACAAGAGGTTTGATGGCCTGTTAATAGGTAACCAAGTTATCCATGCTGGTGAAAGTTTTATTTTTTCACATTCTAGCTCCAATTAGGATTATTCTGGTCCTGCAGCTAAACGCTGACAGGAAGTGACTTTTCTTTAAAGATCTGAACACAAAGAAGTAGCCTGGTAAAAACAAGTTGTTCCTTACTTTGCTTCGTACAAAGGGTCTGGAGTTTCAACTATTGAGAAATGATTGCTTGCTGCTAACGTTTGGCTCTGCAAGCTGAAGTAAGCTGCGCGATATGAAGCTTATCGTGCTACATCTTTGCTAGCAATAAAGTATTTTGGAGGTGTGGCCAACATGGTCTAAATGGCTTTGTTCTCTTCCTCCACTGTTGTCGCCAAACTACAACCACAGGCAAACTATATTTCTAAAACAGCGCAGAAAAAAATCTATGCATCTTTTGGAACTCCTTCTGTTCACTGATTGGTCAGGATGAAAGCAAAGGGAAAATCTTTAGACAGAGGACTGAAGGGAGATGACAATAGAGTGGAATTGAGGGGAGGGCAATTGCCAGGCTATGATACAAGACTTGAAGAAAAAAGATTGCCATACAGTAAAACTTTATTTCTCTCTTGACAGGAATCCTGTCTGCAACAGGAAATGGCTTTGTCATTTATATGACCATCAAACGCAAGACCAAGCTGAAGCCTCCTGAACTCATGATCGTTAACCTTGCCATTTTTGATTTTGGCATATCAGGTAATGAGAAACATCTGATACATGTGTCTGGTTCATGCTAACACTTACAGCTGATGAATGGATGGTTTTTGAAAGATTATTGCATGTTTTGACATTCACTAAATCTTATACAGGTGATATAAAATGTATACACAGCTTTTTTAAACTGCCTTATCAAAGCCAGGGCTTCTATCTTTTGGTATGACCTTCAACTGACCTTCATGCTGTTAAGCCCTCAATTTTTTAAAGGAGAGTGGGCCAAATTTTCCCAACTGCAATGTAAAAGTGTTGGTCACTGAAAACAACTGATGGCAGCCATTGGCTCCCAGGGTGGCAGAACCTGTTATTAGGTTTAGGCGGTAATTACCTTTTGAAATGGGCCCAAGTTGGCTTAGCAAAAAAGAAGAAACCTGTAAGGGAGGAAGATATTTTTACCAATTCCAGAAAGCATGCTTATGTTGCCAAAACATCCAATGACACACAATGCATCTCTCGGCTTTCATACTGTGCAGCTGATGAGCTGAGTGGAGGCAGCTATGCACAATCATTTGCTGCACACATGAAACAGAGTGGAACCATAGGAGCTCTGGAAAGATGACATTTTCAGTCACAGGTAGAAAAGCCAAGCTTACGGCATAAAGCAAGAAGGAAAATCAGTCTGGACACCCAACAATAGCCTGTGGGCTTAACATGAATCTTAGCAAAACTGAAATATTCAAGTAAAAAATGAACTTACAATAAAAAGCTTAATTTCCTTTGTGGTAAGGAACATAAAGGATAGATACAAATTTACACTCACTTAAAATGACATCAAACAAGCATGACTAAGACCAAAGAGCTTTCTGGAATCTTCAGAACGAAGATTGTTGCAGATTATGAGTCTGTTAGGGGATATTGAGATAGATCAAAGTAATTTGAAAATCAGCTTTTCCATAACCATAACCATACAGAAAGCAGTCTACAAATAAAGCAACCATCAAGGTGCTGAGGTCTAGCCAACCAAGCATTTTCACCTTGAGAGGAGGCTGCAAGATGCTGAAAGAAGTCTCCAAAAACACTAAAATCTTATCTGCTGACCTTCAGAAGGCTGTAGCTCATGGGTGGGCAATCCAAGTCTTCGAAGACCAGTGTCATGGAACTCTTCGATGTCTCCCTGGTCCAACACACTTCAATTAAATACCCAAGTCACCTCCTAAGTGCAGTCAAGTTATCCAGAGTCCTGCTAATGACATCATTATTTGACTCAGGTGTGATGAAGAAGAGACACACCTAAAAGTTACAGGACACCGGCCTTTGAGACCTGGAGTTGCCCGCCCGTGTTCTACTGTTGATGTTGAAGAACCTGCCTGGATAATCTGGAAGACGCAGTAAAGAGGAACCATGGCACTACGAAGGCCCCAACATACTCGGGTGTACTCCACTACACAGAGGACCACGCGTAATTGAGACAGACTCACTGTGGACTCAAAGCAGACGTCCACTGGACACATTCATGCAAATGTAAATGTTTACCAACACTTACACATACTTGGTATCCCACAGTAAACTGCCCAGCAGGAAGCGGCGTTCACATCACACTAACCCTAACCCCAACCATCTGCACAGAGAGTGCGTGGAGTCTGGGTGGCTCACAAAATATGGAGAACACAGGAGTCTTCAGTCTCATTGGTTCATTTGTTATATTCTTTGGTCAAATGAGTCCACAATTGAATTATTTGACCTCAAGAACAGAGAAGATGTTGGCATAAACCAAATACAGCATTCCAGGGAAAGAACCTCAAACCATCTGTGAAGCAAATGACTTTGAGTGCTGCTGCAGTTCATCATAGAATCCACCACAAATTTTACCATGAATGCCTGAAACCCACAAATACTTGTGACCTCCACTTATTATTACCGTATAACCATATAATAAAGCAGGATGGGAAATACCAAGAAATTTATCAAAGACAGTCAGAGAATGAAGAAAGGTAAAGTTCAGATTTTTATCTTCATGAGATGCAGTGGGGTGACTTGATCATTCTCTTATTGATGAATTAATAACTATAAGACATCAATGTAAGAACATTTCCTTTGAAAGAACATAATGTTTAATGGGCTATGATAATTTTGTATGACTGTTTCTTACATCTGTAATTAAGGTCAACCTCTTTGTTGTAGATAAAGGGATTAAACACTTTGTTACTTTACAAAGTCCTGCTGACTTCATGCGTTTCAAATCCTCCCATGAGCCAGAGAGTCTGTGGAGAGCCCTGGCCCGGCCCACCTGCTCTGTGAAGTTCACAACATCATCCAGTACTGGTTCACTTCCTGTCACAAGCCCCGCTGAAAAGTCCTGGATCTGAAGGAAGTTCTGATCCAGCTTCCACTGACAGATGTTTAGGGAGCAGAGAGTAGGGTGCACTGGGATACCACTATGCCTTTGATTTTCTGCTGATTCCTCCATCAGATGACCAGCTGTCATGTTGTTTACTTTAATTAAAACTTGTGCAAAGTAAGAGAACACAATGAGCCGTCTCTGTTCGCTTATCAGAAACGGTATTGACTGATTTATAGTCAGGTGTGACTTGCATATATTATTTTCCTCTTGATGATGCACTTTTTGACAGACACATTAAATTTTAATTCATACCAATGGACATCAGACAAGGAGTAAACATTGTACCATCTGCAGCAGCGAGGAAAGATAAGCCCAGACCAGAAGTGAGACGGCCAGAGCACTAGGAACGAGTCCGCAGCTTGAAGAACATGAGGCTGGCAAATGGAACTTATATATACATATATATATTTTCCTCTTCATGACAAATTTTTTGATTGATGGGATTCAGAGTTAGGAAAACATAATAATACTATAACATCCACATCATCGTGGTATGAGAAACCTCCCCATACTCTCATGTGTCCATGATGTCTCAGCCACCATGCTTCAGTGGTCTGTGGCTTGTGGTGTTTGGGGTTCATGTCACAAACCACTTCTGACCTCAGGACCCATTTAGAAGATGGCTATGCATTGAGTCAGGAGTATCAATGGTTGGGAAAGTAACAAAATCACACGGTTAAATAGGGATGCAATGTTTTGCTATTAACTGTCATCAATATGACTACTAGATAATATAAGGAACATGGGTATCAGATTTAACCAGTCAGTGAACATTTTTAATTTAGAAAAAGAATTGTGTGGAAGTGGTATGTAGGCTAGCTGTGCTAGCTTGACTTTGGCAACCTTACCATGAGCATGTGCTGCAGAATTTGGTTTTTTGGTTCAGTTAACACAAAAATAAGACGACCCACATTCCAACTGTTTGAGAGCTCATCAGCAGAGCAGTTTACATTAACTAACTAAACTGCTGTGTCGAAGCAATCATTAATTAATAATTGCAAAATAAACATCAAGCCTGAAAACGTAACACTGTAACAGACCGAATGTTTTCCCTCCCATGTGCTCAATGATTTGTCCCCACACAGGTTTTATATTGCTTTATTATAACTGCTCAGTCATCAAAAAGTTGACTTTCTTTTTCACCCATTATGTGTGTTGCTTAATACGGAATGCAACTTAAAATTACAGAAGGACCTCAATACTAGCAGATGGGGAAACATTCATAATTGCAGATACAGATTGCTCTATTTGAACGGCTTACAAAGACCTGAAGAAAGAAAACACCATATCCTGTGAGCCTGACCAAATTATATGCAATTTGTGTATATTAAGCTAAAATGATTAAAAAATAACATAGAAAAACACAGAAATGTTTCATGTTTCTTTTTCGGTATGCGACAAAGATGCTTCTTGCTCAAACCTGCTTCATGCATCATCGCTGTCTGTGTCGCATCAATTATAATTGAGCTTGAGTTGAATTGCTTGTTCTCAGTCATTTCTTTATGCTGATGAATGAAACGTTTCATTCCCTAAGGCTAAACTTAAACATTTGTGAAATGGTGCAGCAGTGGACTGTGGATGTACTGAGTGAGAACAGCTGGTCTAATCTACTGCTGTTAATGAGGCAAAAAGAGAGATGAATGGAGTCTGCAGCAGAAAGAAAGTCAAATATAAACAGGATGTGCAAAATGACTTCACTCATCATGTCTGTGGCTGGGAAATAGATTGATGTCACTAGGCAGTTCAGCAACTGACGGCATCCACAGGGGGCAGAAAATGTTTCTGTTTGTTTTTTTCATCTCAGTTTTGTAAAGGCAGTTCAGCTGGAGGGAACTGCTGTCCTTTTTGCCCCAGACATGTTCACTGCAGCACTAAAATAAACTGATTACAATCTATTCAGTGACCACACAAGAGAGGTTTCCGCCGACTCAGGAATTCCTTAACTGATAGAATTACACACAAATGTCAGAAGGGAGAAATAATACGACAGGGTGATATTTTATGCAACAGAACATACAACTGATAGATAAATCAAAATCAGTTCTCACAGTCTGTCTTACAAATATTTTTGAAATTCTTGTGTTGTCAGGTAAAAAAGGCGTTTTGAACTCTGCAGCTTAGAGCTGACACTCTGACAGGTGTGTTTGCTCTCATTTTGTGAGTTTTGTGAAACACAAAAATTTTGATATGGCTGAAAAACCGCCTGATCCTAGCACCAAAACATTTTACCAAAAAACTTTTTAATTGCAATGTTTCAATTCAGCAAATTGGTTCTCAATTCCAGCCTGTGTAATTTTATGGTTGGTAGAAATGCATCTAATGAGAGTTAGGTATTAAAAAATAACTTGAAATGATAGCTTTAGAAGTTAGATTAAATTTGGAAAGAATATCACACAATTCAACCAGAAACTAGGTTCCAAAACTTGACTTTGTTACAAAACGAGTTCTGAAAAGCTACAACATCTTCTGAAGTATTGGAAGAAACTATTTAAAACATCTGCAGTCACAATTTATTTTTTTATTGATTTATTTAGACAAGTGTTGACAAGAGTTTAAACATCGGGAGCTAAAGTTTACTGTGCACAGCTGATTAAACCACCAGGCTGTAAACAGCAGAAAAGGGCAAAGGTCAAATTATTGT